TTTGATAATAAAACGAAACGTCAACACTGTCACGTGCCGTTGTATAAACTAGAGTAAATCAAAACAGATTAAATAAAAATAAATAGTCCTAAATATATACCCAAATCATCGAACACCTTCACGCGAGGTTTACATAAACAACAAAAATAACTAGAACAAATACCATAAAATAATAAAAATATAATAAATAAATTTACATAGTAAATAAAAATCATAACCAAAAAGTCTCAACTTAATATGCAAGTCACATTAGTTTCAATTTTTCTATGACAATTCTACCATCATAAACAAATTTCAAGTTATTTACCTGCAAAAGTTTCAGTTACTCATTACAATAAATTATAGCCACTATAGGTTAATAACTGGTTTTTTATTAGCCTAATACTACAGACGTATTTAGCTCGTCGGGATGGACCTGTGGTTGGTGACTATTAGTACAAGAATCTCTTTGACCTTGACTATAGGACGCATGGAAGCCTCTCGTTTCTAGCAAGGGTCACAAAGAGGCAGTACGAAAACTAGTCGACGTGGAGCAGGTCCTGATGATGTTGTTTTCGTAATTGTGGCAGGCCAAAATCGTAATTGCGATTAATTGCACAGCCCTAGGTCCATGTACAATTTTGAAAGTCGTTTCTGAAAATGAGCTCACTGAGGAGTTTATTTCCTTGTGCGATATTACTTTTATTATTCTGCCAGAAGCCCAGTTGACTAAACAAGACTTTGTATTTTGCAGTGAGCAGAGGGTTCTCCTCATCAACACTCCTCTACAGAATACTCTAAAGGAGCTGTGGACCATGATCCACTTCCTTTTGCCAGGAATCACCAGGTCCTACTCTGACTTCCCTGTTAAGGCAGGCACAGACCAGAACCAGGACTACTGCCACAAGCTGGTCATCCGCCTGCACAGGGTGGGTGTAGCCGCTTGTTACAGCCCGGCTCATTGAGGGTCCTAACAACCTGCACCATGCCACGAAATTCAGAACCATGATTGATTTAGCCTCAGCATCAATCCCTGCTCATCACTTACCATCTCCTCACCATTATCTGTAGATGATCCAGCCCTTCATCCTCCGGCGCTCCAAAAGGGACGTGGAGAAGCAGCTGCCCAAGAAGTACGAGCACATCCTGAAGTGCCGTCTCTCCACCAGACAGAAGAACCTTTACGAGGATATCCTCACGCGACCGGGGTGAGTAACAAATGCCTAAACACTGAAGTTACATCATCTGTAGTAGTACATTGTGTTGAGATGAATTTTGCTTTGGGATATTTGGGATATATGTTCTGTCTGGATGTGCTCCCCTAGAGCTCAGGAGGCTCTGAAGACGGGTCATTTTGTCAGCGTGCTTCAGGTCTTGATGCAGTTACAGCGAGTGTGTAACCACCCCGAGCTGGTGGCTCCCAGGGAGACCAGCAGCTCCTACTTCTGCTCCTCTCTGCAATACAACGCCCCATCACTGGTGCTGGGAGCTATCAGGAACGACTCGAGCAAGGTATACACTTTTCTATCTCATATATATGTTTAGAATGGAATAGGAGAATGTGTTTGAAACCTAATCGGCAGGAGTCATTGTTAAAAAGTAGACAACATTTGCGTGGGGTTGAAACGTAAAGATTTTATTACATTATGAAAGAGAGACCGTGGTTATTTAGAGTTATTGGCAGACAAAATGAGCTGTATCAGGGAATTACTTTTGGCTCTTCAAAGTTCGGAACGCTAATCCAATTGAAATAAAGTTTCTTTATAACTCAATAAATCATAACAGTAATCATTACTTTCTTACTATTTGAATACACTGGCCTTTTATTTGTATGCTTTATATTCTTCTATTTGTTTGCATGTCCATTAGAGACCTTGGCATTTAGTTGTTTTTAACATTACATTATTTATTTATTTCAGTTTTGAACCTTGAGTATATGTTGGATTGTTTTATTAAAATGTGCCTTTTAGTAAAAGAAAGAGTATTCATAAACAATGTTCATTGACCCACTTGTGCTTTTTGTCTTTTATCTCATTATCCACTTAGATTTCAAGCATGTCCATATTTGATCTGATCAATAATGAGAACCGACTGACCCGGTATCAGACTGAAGAGGCAGTTCCCAAACTGAAGATCACTAAGCAGCTCATCGAGGAGATCAACACTGCTCCAGAACCATCGCCACGCCCAAAGCCGTGTCCGATAAAACCCACGAGGTCAGCACTTAAGTCTTTTAATATCCACCTAACTTCACATGCTTGATGTGGAGATGTTTTTCAAATTGCTCTGACATGTCAACCTCTGGCATTAAAGATTATTAATAGCCTGATTTCTTTGTGATTAGATTGTTCCAGCAAGTGCAGTATGGGACAAAGCCAGAAGGCCGCCTCGCTGCCGTCTCTGCTGCGGCAGGCCAGCGTCCTCCAACCAGCTCTCCCACTACTAGCACCTCTGTTTCCACCAACCTGTCGGCTCAGAACAGGGGCAAGTCCCCCGTCACCGCGGCAACTACCACAGCCACTACTCACGGTAATAACTTAGTTTTTACAATAAGTGAAAGATTTCATATTTAATAATCGAACATCAAAATTGAAAAGACAAAATGAACCACCCATAGTTGTTTTTGCTGGTACCACTTGTGTGTGATGTAGTTTAAGGGCTTCATCTTTATCACTAAGTGCAAACAAAGGTATACGGAATGAAGAGAAACGTGTTATACTTGTGTTGCATACTGCTATATGCTGCATGACTGTGACACTGTTTTGGATTGAAATGAACCTGATTTTCTTCCATGTATTTAAGATTTCCCCATCTGTCATATATTGTCATCATTAGTGCTCACGGCAAAACAATTAAATCATGTAGCGTTGGCAGATTTTAAATGTAACCTTCTTCTCATACAACTTTAAGGAAATGTTTGGGACACACTCGCTGTAAAGTTCTATAGTCGCAGATGTTTCATATGTTTAGATGTATACTTCCATACAGCAGTGGTGGGCTGGCCTCATTGTTTTGGCACAGTCAGGATATTACGAAAGAAGAAACAGTCATAGTAAACTTTTCAGATGAAGAGTAGCCAGAGAAAACCACTTGCTGCAGTTAAGGAGACGCTTGGCTGCAACTGAATACACGCACAGTCGCACACTGATGGAGCTGGTATTTTACATATGCACAATTATTGTCACACTTACTTATTTGATAGTCAAGAAATGTTATGTCCGTTCATAAGAAATAACGTCTCTAGTCCTGCTTGCTGTGTGGGCCCGCTACTGCTGAGTGAGTCATGTGGAGGGCATTGTTTGATCATAATAATGACATGACTAAATATTGAGTTACCCCTAACATGTAGTCCCATACCCCATTGCCTTGTGTTTCACAGCGGTTGGAACAGCTTCTCAGAGAGCGCAGACCGCCCCTCCTGTCAGCAGCAGCACTGCAGCCTCCTCTGGGAACGCTGGCGTTGGGAAGCATGTGTTGGGGGGGGGCTCTGTGGCCTTGGGCCAGATCTTAACTCCCATCAGCCAGCCTGCATTAGCACAGGTCCCCAGGCCAGCGCTAGCCCCCAGCCATGCCATTCAGCCCAGCTTACTGTCCCAGAGGCTGGTTCTTACATCTCAGGCCCAGGCACGGTTGCCTAGTAAGTGGCCTCCCCCCCTTTCCCCCCGGGCACAACCGTATGGGCTGTTCTACACTGAGGCATTTACTTGAGGCACTGCTGATATGTGTTCAAGCTTCAATACTCCAAAGAATTGTGTTTCTGTGCACTTAATCAAACTTGCAATGGTAGTAGCACCCGTGGTTAAGCGATTTTGGTCATGGCAGAGATGCCCTGTAGCATTAGTTATACAACTTCCCATGAGATTTGATCTGTAGCCATATCAGCAGCATCTCCACAGCCTCACGTTCTCCAACTTCCTTCTTAAAACCTGCATGAACACTATGTACGACCCACTTATTTATACCACCATCACTACACTATTGACCTTAATTATGATGTGTTTCCTCCTTCTTTTTAATATTTTTTTTATTCCGGTTACTAATTATCTTTTATCTTTTGCATCAGCCCAGCTGCAGGAAAGAATCCCAAAGCTTTGTTTGTTGTTGTTTTTTCTTTGCTCATGTTATGATTTCACTTTGATGTTGAGCGTACCTGCAAAGCACGTGGAAGCGGCCCCACAAACTGCCAACCCTTTCTGCCTCAGATGAGAACAGAGATACCTTTTCATTAACAACAGACCCCTTTACATTTCATTAAAAAAAAAAAAAAAAAAATTATTTCGTAAAAAGAAATCTAACTTGTTGTATGTTGCAACGAAGATTTCTGCACCCTTCGAATAGGATTCTTAACACTTAATTAACACAGTTTTTATTATCATTGTAGCCCAATTAGTGACATTTAAAAAATATGTTGTTGTTACTTTACCGGGTGCATTGTCACTGCATTAACAATGCACAATGTGTTGCAATCACTATTATTTGTCAAAAATATTTCCTCTCATAGCTACTGGGCTCTACATATTATTAATTGAAATTGACTCTAAATGCTGTAGAAAGCACCTTTTATTATATGACATGTCTTAAAACGCACAATCATCCTGTTACACCTGAGACTAAAGCCTAAACCTTTTTGGCCTGAGGAACCAATTGCTTTCTATAATTCTCAAACTACTTGTGGTTCATTTCCTAATTTAGGTCCAGAGTGCATTGTTTAGTCAGAAATGGCAAAAAATGGTTACACCATTGTTTCAAAATGATGATTGATTAATGGGGGGTGTTGAAATACTTTGTATTTACAGGATATCATTGTTGGACAATCCCGAAGTATGTATGTGTATGTTTCAGGCTCTCTGTCTCACCTGAGGACTTCCCTTACAGCCCTTTTCTTTCCCCTTCAGGGTTTATAAAGTATGAGCTGCTGTGGTTCTGTTGTGGAGGGCGGCTGTGCTCGTTCCTCTGATTAATCCACCCTGGTTCTGCATGTCTTGTCTCTTTTCACCCTTTAACTAACTGATGCAGAGCGTATTGTTGGGTGACTATTTCAGCTGACTTTTGAATGCTCTCTTTGATAAAGGGTCTGTTATTGCTTTCCATTGAAGGTGGAGATGTGGTGAAGATTGCCCAGTTGGCCAACATAGCAGGCAATCAGAATCGTATCTCTCAGCCAGAGACTCCTGTCACGCTGCAGTTTCAGGGAAACAAGTTCACTCTGTCGCCCAGCCAGCTGCGCCAGCTCACCACCGGACAGCCCCTGCAGCTCCAAGGTACACTCGGTAATGTACATCCCATCGTCACACTTTTATCTCTACATAATTCTCTCCTTTGTGCAAATAAACTAGACTTTTATATTGAATTATGGACTCTTATCCTACTTCCTCATGGCATACAAAGTGGCTTAAGGTTTAGAATTCTAATTGCAGATTTCTGGTTTAATTAATTAAGATTGTTGTCGTCAGTAAAGGTTAATTTTCAATATAAATGATTCTGCAATTAAAAATCTTGAATACACTTAAAGACCACGGAAGCACTGCTGTTATTCCCCCAGATTCCACTTTTCTTTTAATTAATAATAATAAATGTTTTTTTACAATACATAAAAAATCATGTGGACAAGGGGAAGACTTAATGTGATTTCAATTGGACTCTGTGTCCCTAGTTTTATTGATGTTGCTGTTTCCTTGATGTAATGTTGTTTTTGACTTCAATTCCGATAGCATAACAGTTGTTTTAGTTTTTCCTTTTTTTAACCTTGAATTTTTGTGAAGTTTTGAGGAGGCAATTTTTATGTTTTTTGCTTCATTTGTTTCACGGTTTTAGGCAACATCCTGCAGATTGTGTCCGCTCCAGGGCAGCAGATCATCAGGCCCCAGGGATCCATGGTCATGCAAACAATGCAACAAACTGTCCCCGCTTCCAACGCCTCAGTTACACCTGGCACGCCTCATCCTGCGCTGTCAACAGCCCAGCAAGGTGACTCAATCACAGTGAACATTATTCTCTAACACAGTCTTTCTCGTCAGTTATTCCGGTTACCAATATATGCTGAAAGTGAATACATTTTATTGCTACCTAACATGCTACTTTGTCCCCACAATTACACTTGTTTCCTGTACAATAGTTTCAACAATGGCATTTCCTGTGAAAAACTATTATTTTATTGACGTTGTATATTTATTTTTATGAATTAGGCGTAACTTCGAACGCCACGTCATCACCTACCAAGCTCACAGCTGCATCTCATGCTGGTTCCCAGGTCAGTACAACACTTTCAAGGACATGTTTGTAATGCCTGTTTTCACCTTTTTTAATATTCTGAAGTAAAAGCATTTTGCAGCATGCAGACTCAATTGATGAAGGAAAATGTAATTGTAGCTGTGTGTATTTATTCTCACTGCGATGTTCAGGAGTCTTCAGAAGAAAAGACTCAGCAGCTGAAGGAGCGTTTGAGCCGCCTGTTTGAGGCGAACGAGCGGCGCTGCAGCCGCAGAGTGGTGTACGGGTCAGACCTGCTGCAGGCCTGCACTTTAACCACAGACCCAAGTCATTCCGCCCTGACGGCTGGGGGCTGGAGGTGGGTGGGCCGAGAGAGCTGCCTCAGGGCTCAGAGAACCTGCGTAGCTACTACCGCTGCCCTGCAGTCCGCTCTGCTCACTGTGGAGGATCGCCTGCAGGCGGCCAACAGCCTCATCAAGAGGTACCCAAGCTGTTCTGTTACTGTTGCTAAACCACACCCTTTACACTGCTCCTATTCCAACAACGTGATACATACACTTCCAAATTGGCCTTGGCAGATTCCGCATTGTATTAGGCTTACTTACATTATTATATTACTAAATATTGAATTGGAATCTAAAATTGGAACACTACTACTTTGAAATAAATGGATCTGGGAAATTGTTGGCAATACCCAGCCCTATTAGCATTAATTTAGTTGAATAAAACAAACCCTTTTCACATGTTGTGTTAAAACATATATATTTGTAAGTTAACTAAGAACGCAGATTTTGTTACAATGCAATATCATATGTTTTTTTCTTTTTCTGAATAATAATCGGATGGACTGTTGTCATGTTTTTAGGCTGGTATGTGTGGTGCCTCCAGCTGTAGCCCCGCCCCCTCACCTGTATGCAGCCAATCCCCCGGTTCCCTACAGCCTCCAGCAGAAGTCACTTCTCCGTGGGCTACAGGAGGCCGCCGCCCCCCACAGTGCTGACATCCATCACCATGCGTCCAGGCCTCTCCTCTGTTGTGATGACCTGCTGCTAATGCAGATGGACTCTGGTAAGCCCAGGTCCTTTCTTGATATTAGTTCAACACGCTGCAAGCTGGGACTGCAGAAAGAACGACTTCAACTAAAAACATTAGTAGTGTAGTCTCTCTACCTAGCAAGTGTGAATGTCTTCCAACATTTGCTTGTGTGCATTTACCGTGCAAAAACAGTGTTGTTTGTTGTCTGCTCTTCAGAACAGTAACATGGAACAAATAATGTGAAATAGGCCATTTAGTTCTGCATCAATGAAAAAGATGCTGAAATCTACTGGGATTACCAGCACCTGCTTATTTGCATATTATACTCTTTAAAGTTTGTTATTACTTTTTTCATTCAACTTAAATTAACATTTAAAATGTTTAAAATGCAATCCGAAACATCTGACCATGCCAAGAATAATAAATCTTGATATTTTTCCTTTCCAAAGGTAAACTGGAAGCTCTTGCCATTCTGCTGCAGAAGCTTCGGTCAGAAAGCCGCCGTGTCCTCATCTTTACTCAGATGGTGAAGATGCTTGACATCCTGGAGGCCTTCCTAGATCACCGGCAGCTCACTTATGTGCGGGTCGATGAAAGCTTCAGTCCTGACAAACGACAGGTAAAATACCCCCACTTCTGACAGGCCACAATACTAATAACGAGGTTCTTAGCTTATATCAAGTCGGTTATAAACATCAAAAAGGTTCTGTTTTGTTACTGGAAAACGGTGGGTGTTATTATTCCAATTACATTGAAATAGAGTGTTTTCTTCGTTAAAGAGCAACTTGCAGGTTAGAGACACCAGTGAATAAATGTGTAGGAAAATGATGAATACACTAGATTTTTTTTTAAATATACAGAAATATACACTACAGTGACATCTGGCGTCGTTTTAGACATTTTCACTTCCGCATAAAAAAGTCTCCGCACGTGACCTCCCGCGTGTGACGTAACATGGGGGAGAGCGGCCGGTCTAACGTATTAATAAACATGGATCACAATGCTAGTTTTGACACAGAAGAGGTTGAAAATATATATTCGAATGCATATGATTATAATTATGAGCCTGCTAGGCGTCCAAGAGACCAGGAGCAGCCATTGTGTCCGCGGGGTCTTAAAAAGTATTGATACTATTGATATGATAAATCAATTTAGAGAAAATTAAGGCTATTAAAAAGTATTAAACGGCATTTTCCAAGGTATTAAGAAGGTCCATAGCAACGACAACATGAAACACCCTTTAATTTACTGAAACGACATGTCGGGAAACTCCCCAAGGCGGCCCCATGCATAGCGCGCCGTAAAATGCTGCTTATTATTTTAAGTTTCGTTGCCTTGCTCCGCTCTGTGGGGGGGGCACTAAACGACTACGGTAACGGTACGGGTCCCAAGGTGGGTAGACCGGCATACGCAACGCTCTGGGGGTCCAACGGCTCCGTGTGTAAGCCCTATATGATCATTTTCTGATAACGATGAAATAGCCCCGCCTCCCTCTCCCCACGTCTCCTGCTGCTGCTGGGCTGTCAGAAGAGGGGGAGGAAAAGAGAGGCAGGCACCGTTTATTAAATATTATTATATTATTATACAGAGAACAGAGTCGTTATCAATTTGTTTTAAAGCTCAATAAATAACAAAGAAGACCTCTGACCGGCACTTTTCTAATTTTGTACGGAAGATTTAAACTTTAACGGACATGTTGACCGGCGGAAATTTTTTTTAACGGAAACTCTGCCGCACGGTCCCCTCGTTCCTTGGAAGAGGCGGAGAGGTGGGTGTTTTTCATCTGCTGGTGGACTACCTGAGAGATATACAGCAGGAGAACACGCCGTCCACCGCGGAGAATAAACAGAAGGGCAACCATGGCAACCATGCTCCGGGGTCTTCTTCGCTGCTTTTGGTGTATTTCGGGCGGCAGCAGCGCCACTTACAGGCCTGACATATGTACTACATCGTTTCCAGCATTTCCAGCGGTCTAGTGTGAACGGACACGTTAATGAATCGAATGCGTGTGAACGGAAGCCTTTTTTGCACTTGCGTATGCGTTTTACCGTATGCGTCCTCGTGGGGCCGGGGTCTAAGCCAAACTATATCCGGTCACAGAGATCTGCTATTTTAAAGTAAAGTCAACACATATCGACCCTAATATAGTCTATATTAAGAACGAGAAAAGTCTTAACATAAATATCGTTTTTTGTAAACATATGACAAATGTGTGAGGGTGATGACGTCAGAGCATCGTCCCATTTGCCAGGGCTTAGCCCCGGGCAGCCCCAGCCCAATTTAAACCCTGGGTATTTGTGAGGGAGCTCCTATATGGCATTACCCCGCTGAAGCTCATCAAAGTTTAATATATTTCATAGTTCAAAGTTTTGTCAATTGTTTTGTTTATTGGTCAAATACTGGTATCTAATGGTTTCTGAGGAGTTTTACTGGAATGAAAGAGCACAGTCTGCAGAAGCAAAAAGCAGCATACTGCATTAAACCTGACCTTCACAGAGAGTTGAATTCATGTGGAAAGGAGGCTTCAGTAGTCTGTCTGCACTCTGTTAGTTGTGCGTATCTTACAATCAATTATAGTCAGATGTGATGTAAAGGATGTGTCGGCCAATGTAACCGGTTAAGAACTCGAAGTTGCGGATGATGGCTAAAATGTATGGAAAGGGTCTAAAAAAGTCTTAAAAGGTATTAAATTTACATTCAGGATTCCCTGGCAATGATACCTGAGCCACAGTATTAGAAAAAATAACGCCAATCGGAGAGAAATGGCAGCTTTTGGTTGTGTGGAGAACAGAGCAGCTTGTCTTGCGTGAGTGACCCGGCGTAAGCTACAGGACAGGACTGTTAGCTAACTCGTCATCATCCCAACATTTAAGTTAACATCATATATCAGGCTATAATTACAAGTAGTATTGATAATATAGTAACGTTACTGGCAGACTGTTGATACTGAATCCATAACA